CAAGCCTATTTGCACTTATCAACAGGTATTAATGAGGGCAGAACATCTCAGTTGCAAACAAGGAAATGATTAGCACTGATTATAGAAGTATAAACAGAGCTCAAACTCATGTGTCAATTCTTCTATCGCAGCTCACTGGTCTTCTCCCACTAGTGTGCTAGCTGGAGTTTTATGGCGTGTGGCCATTCATGTACTCTTCGAAGGAATCCATTACAGACACCTGTCCTTCCCTCTTCTGGTCCCAGTCCTTGCCAAGCCAGCCCTTACCAGCCACCTCGAGGTGTGACAGGCACAGGCGGTCCAATAAGGGAGTCAGATGAAGAGACGCAGTGGCTTAGAGGCAAATCTCCTAATCCCCATTGCCATGACTATAAAGAACTCAGGTTGCTGAATTTTTCTTGGCAACTGATTCCAAGTGCCTTCTGGGCGCTTTGGTATTTGTGCTGTTCCAGGTTCCTGCCTTTGATCTGTCTTTTCCTTATGGCTGCAGTTTCCCTTTCTGTAAAATGGGGCTCTTGCTGGGATCAAATGAGACAACTTACCCAGACCTGGCATAGTGCCTGGTGGGGAGAGAGTAAGTGCTCAACCAATAGTACTTTCCCTGTCCAGGCTTCTTCTGGTTGTGTTCCCTGCACCTCCGACACTGGCGGACCAGGGCCTGTTCCCTCCCGTGACTGGCAAGCCAGGTCGCCTACTCCTCAGACAATCCAAGCTCCCTTCTCTGGCGGCCTTCTGTTGCCCTTTACCCGTCGCCATGTGGCACTCGCTATTAACCTATTGCTCTCTCTCTGCCCTCCCTGACTCTCTGCTGGTTTCCTGATAGGAATTTGCACATCTGGGCCAGAGACAAGACAAGAGGCCAAGCCGTATCTACCTGCCCTCCCCAACTGTGAGCCAATCACCCACATTCTGGTTACAACCAGATGTTTCACACCCGTGACAGCAGTGCCACCCAAACGGTTGCTTACAAGGAACACAGCGTGGTTTTCACAACAGAAATGTAACCTGTGTGTCACTTCTCAAATTTCTTAAAAGCGGCTACCATACCTGGGTACTTTTCCCTTGAAAATGACCACCTTGTTAGGCGTCTTGTAGGGATTTTAATTTGGAAGCTCTGGGAGTGCTTATATGTTCTTTCCAAGGGGGTCCCTGACTGCTTTAATTGGCAGGGAGTTAAAATATTGGAGAAGATACGAGATCTTCCCTAAACTCACCCCCTTTCTGAAAATGCTCCTCAGTTGCCTTGGCAAACAGCCAATCCAAACACTAAAAGAGAGTCAGAGAATGCAGGAACCCTGAATGCCATTCTCGGTGCATGCCCAAACAAGAATGGCGGGGGGGCAGAGGCGGCACAGCAGAAAGTGGAAAAAAAGGTAGTTTTTGCATCCCAGACTGGGAGCCGATCCCACCCCATCATGTCCGGTGTCCCCTCGACTCATAAAGAGGAGAGAGGACATGTGGTGACATCGTGAAAGTAGACTTCCCTGCCAGGGTCAACCGCTCAACCTGACAGGTTGTCCAGTCTGGCAGGTCACCCCAGGGCCAAGAGTGAAGGGTCAGTCCAGTGAGATCACTGATCAGGTTGCAACCGCTTTGACTTGTTTTTTGCAGCTTTGGCTTCCTTGGTTATTGGTGCATTTGTTTCTACCCACTGGGGAGGGGCTGACATGACCTACTGTGTGTGTGTCAAATTTGTCCTTTTCAACACTTAATCACATTCTCAGAGACCCTCTGAGATGCAGCAACTGGGTGATTGTGCTGTGAAACAGTGGCTTCGTTCTCTGCATTCACTGGGAATGGTTTGTTCTGATCATGTCAATTTCCCAGTGTTTCCAGCACGAGGTATTACATTGGAAGAGACAGCTGGTTAAGTGTTTAACCAGCTCTTACTGGGAATTCTCTCTTCCTCCTTCAGATCTCATGCAGATGCTCAAAGGTGTCCGGAGTTTCTTTCATGCCATTTTATTGAAAATTCATATTCACTAATTCAAATAGATTTTTTGAGTCGTTATTATGTGTGAGGTACTGTACTATGATACGCCTTATACCGTATCTTATTTCATCCTCACCACAAAGCTGTGAGGTAGGTACTGTCATTATCTTTACAGATGAGGAGACAGGCTCAGGGAACGTAATGCGAGATCACACAATCCATATATAGGGGGCTGGGATTCAAACCCAGGTTTATCTGAGTCAACGACCCTGTAATTCCTCCACATAGCATATTTCAGGCCCCTCACAGCCCTTGAGAACAAAATTAATCCTTGAGGAAAATTTCCTACTCCACATTTTGCTAATCGTTACAATTACTACTGCTATTACTACTGCTGCCGCTGCTGCTATGGTTACTGGTCCTATTATCATTTTCCCAGCACTGGCACATGCTTTATACCTAGCTGCCAGTTGTAGAGTTCAAGCCCAGGACCACATGAGTCCAGTGCACCCATTCCACTTTTTTTTTTTTTTTTT